GCCATATTCCACCCCTGAATGCCAATCTTTTGCTTTCGAGGCTGTGGACCACCACTCCTGTCAGCCGAACCAGTCTGCATATGGTTCTGCTGAGAAATACCACCATCATTGGTAGCGAGCGTACCTGCGGTGTTAGCTGTCACACTTGACTGCACAGACCCATCCTTGGTGCTTGCCTGCAGGTGTACCTGTTCGTGTCCCGATTCATTCTTGGGATACGATCTCCATTTCGTCGGATCTTTCCATTGTTCCTTGGGTTGGAATCGATGTTCACATCGCGGTGCAACATGATCCGCCTTACCACAGCAAAAACATTTACGCTTACTCTCCTTGTTGTAATCCTGTGTGAGGTTAGTACCATTCTGTGGTGTGTTCGTTTTATCATTTGTGTTGTTGTTGTTGTTATGTTTTGGTGTTGTTGTTTTCTTTACCCAATGATTGTGTAGCGCCTTGGCTGCAGTTTCCACATCTCTCGGAAACAAATCTTGCTGAGCATAATCCACGTGCTCCACAGCGTATGCAGTAACAAAATGATCAAGTACCGGCTGGTATTGTGCACGATCACAGTTGTGCAGTAACCCAGCAGCACAGAACAACTTTACAAACTCTTCCTGAAATTCTTCTTGAAGTGCTTCAACTTCTGCGGCAACTCGCTTCTTTTCTCTATCCGATAAACCATTAGTCGGATGATTGTTTTTAATTTCATGATATGACCTATGTCAGACTACAACAAGGAATGGAGACGCCAAACCAACAACTGGCAAAACTCAACATGATCCGATACGAAGGAGGCACGATGATGTACAACAGCATGGCTACTTTATTTGGCAGAATCGCCACAATTCTAAACGGGTTCAAACACAAGAATCCCCCGTCAACCAACCTATCAGACTTGGCAGGAGTAGCGTTCCAAGCCTTCACACAAGAAATCAAGGACGTTGTGGCTGAACACCTAGAGACGGGAGCAGCAGGACCACTACTTATAGACTACCCCAGCAACCTGTCTCGAATGCACCGCCTACGCGAACGAGCTGAGAAGGAAGAGAAACGCATCAAGCAACTCGTGGGAATTGCTAACAGCGCGGGACGAGTCAGGCCAAACAGAAGCTACGTTCCAGGACTATCTGCACCACCAAGTCCAGGAGGAAGAGCTTTTGCAGGATTCCACCAACAAGGATTCCAAGGATTCTAAGACAATTGCTCCTTCCAAACTCCAAAGATTGAGACCGCTGGAACCTTCCACACCGCATTGACGCCCACACCAAAGCAAAACATTCGAGTCACTGACGGACAAGGAAGACAATTGTTGGTCCCGACACCCGACAGCAGACTATACTGCCCACAAGCTGCCCTAACAATGCTAGCATGCATGAGTGCTGCCAAAGAAGCACTCAACATCGAAGAAGAAAGTGGCAAAACATCCTCGATCCATTGTTGGGGATGCCAAAAGATAGGCCACTCTTTCAGAGAATGCCCCCACAAAGGAGATCCGGGAGTTATCAGCCAGTTTGAAAAAAGCCTAGAGGACTACAGACTAAAGAGAGAGCAGAGACGACACAAAAGCGAGATAACAAGTTACAAGGACAGCGGTTACATTAATCACATAGTTTATGAAACAATTAAAAAGATTGAGCATCCAGAAACGCGGGAAGATGAACGAAGAACACTGTTAGTAAACTTGGCCGAAACAGTCACCGAGCACATGGGCAAAAATAGCAAACACAAGAGGAAGCAAATGAGAACGGATCCCCCACTCACTTTCATGACGGTCGGATCCCCCACTCACTTTCATGACGGTCGGAAGCTTTGCAACAATGGAACAAGCGCAAAAATTGGACTTCTCAGTGAACGAAGTCCTAGCAGTGATGCACTTCCCAATCGGCCTCAACCTTGGAGATACAGCCAACTTGAAAGGAATATACAACACTGGAGGATGCTGCAACATCGGAGAAAAAGCATATCACCTCACCATCGCAAAACAATACCCCCAACTGGTCAAACAGGTGTACGACTTTCCAAAGATTCACTACGCCCCCATCAAGATTGGAGGAATCAAAGACAGCGTCAACATCGAGGCAATCATTGAATACTACATCCCTTTCACCAACGAGGATGGAGAAAATCACACGTTGATGATTGGATTGACGGAGCAACTACCCATCAACACACTCTTTGGATTACCATTCATGTTGAAGGCAAAGATGGCGCCAGACTTTCATCGAAAAACAGTAACTTCAAGCCTCTTCAACCAGGAATTTGAACTCACCATGGAGCGACCCACAATGCTTCCAGTGGAACACATCAGAAGAGATCAAGCAGCGTCACCCAAAGTACTATTGAACAACAACAAGAAAGAGACAGGACAGAGAGCCATCATCATCAGAAAACACCAACACAGTGCGCCCAACACCACCACCAAAATTACACCGAAGAAAACATAACGCAGATCAATCAAGAGACGAGCCCACCACAAAATGAAAAAAAATGAAAAAAAATGAAAAAAAATGAAAAAAATGGAAAAAAATGAAGAAAAAAAATGAAGAAAAAAAATGAAAAAAAGGAAGAGACCCATAACATGCGCAAAAACTATACAAAGAAACCCATAACACGCGCAAAAACTATACAACGAAATCCATAACACGCGCGAAAACTACACAATGAACCGAAATATATATATCCGTTAATTGGACCAGAGAGTGTCCGTCATTCGTACGTTTAGATAGTTTAATTTAGAGATTCGCACACATCTTGTAAAATCCCCATGTTTGTCATCGTACTCGTTTTCGTCCCAAATCTCTCGTACCTCGCTACTCAATTTAACGGTGTATCAGACCCAAGCAATCCACCATGGATAGAGGAGGTTAGGGGGTTTTGGCCGATAGGCTCCTGTTCGATTGATCTGATTGGTCAAAATGCGTCTTTCTTTTGCACATGCCATGCCGCATGCTCTAATAAATTAGCCATCGTTTACGCAACATACGTCTTTCCCAATGTCGCATAGCTCCCAATTGATGGCATCTCTACATTTCACCTTCATGCCCTCGAAAATTGCGTATTAGCAGCCCCCCCCTTTACTTCATCATCAAAGATTCCAACATGCCTTCCAAAATTCTACCAGAAGGAGCCAAAAATATCATGGCAGCAGCAAACCGACAGCTGGCACAGAACACTGCTGATTCGGGGTTCGAAAGCTGGAAACTCAGCATTGAAAAGCACTCCAACAAGAACAACATCAGCAACGCCAACAGCAATTGTTGGCACAGCAAGTTGGAAGGTTTGTTGGATACTTTCCTCCATACGCCGATATGGGAATCCAATCGCAAAACTGCAATGGCAGTATCGAAGCCGCAAAGGAAAGAGGCACCAAGATTAAGCGCCCGAAGCAGCAACTTTCGCGAGTGCAAGTTGGAGGGAGCCTTCCTTTTCTTCCTACATTCCATTGCAAACGATGCCATATCACCCAATTTGGATCAGCGGTGTTAGAAAAATATCACGGAGGGCACCATGATCTCTGTGGGGAAAGGACCAAAAACAAGAAGAATAAAGCAACGCCGCAATCCAACACTATGTTGGATTACACAACAAATGTTCGTCGTGCAACTGCTGCAACTGCTGCAACTGCTGCACCTCAGAGGAAAAAGAAAGCGCCACCAATCAACGTTATTGCTGGAAGTGTGGGCTACAATACACAACATCTTAGTTCAATGGGTATTGACAGCGACTTTGTATCGGATATGAAGCGGAGCATTGATGAAATAATGGATGAGTTGGAGCGCAACCAAAAGCCATCTTGGGCCTTGGGTCGACAAGCACCACCAAGAATGATTATTGCAACTGATCTCATTCTTTCTCAGTTTGAGCACCGGCGTCCCAGTCTGCTGACTCTGTCCTTCCGCAAACTAAAGGTTTTTGTACTGCAATGACAGCATACAATGTATACTTTCCGCTTGGGAGTACATCCTTTATATTTCCACAAGACACAAGCTACAGTCCAAGCCCGACCTATCATTGCCTTTCAGGGGACGAAATCCTACATGTTGACTGGCAGCTTGCTTTTCCGAACCTCCGTTTGCCATGTCCAAAGTGCTCCCGCGGTTCTTTGGTCCATACTCAAAGGAATTTCAAAAAGAATCCAGGAAGTCTATTTCCAATTTGGAGACATGATGGTGCCATTACATGGGCGGTTATCATGAAATATATATGTCTTTCTTGCAAGGAGCTAGTTGATGCAAACGAAGGTCGACTGCTACAAATGCTGCCAGCTCATGTTGCTGCAGCCTACCCTGTTCCACCAAGGTATGCCACAAGTGAAGGCGGATTTCACCTCCACAAAAATGGAATTGCTTTTTTTGAGCACATCCTCAAGACCTATGCAAATGGCGAGCAGTGCAGTCTTTTCCTGGTTCGTGCTATGGCAAATAGATATCTGGAAAAGGCGAGAACTTATTTGAGCCAGAAGCCAAGCCAACCTTTTCCAGACTTCTACAGTTACATGAATAACAAGTGGCCGCCTAATGGCGACAATATTCGGCGGCTCTACCAACAGGCAGAATATTCTTCACTGCAACCCTACAGTTATTCTAATGTCTTACGCTACACTCAAGAGATTCGGTCTGTTAGATTTGAACGCGGTTGTTAGAATAAAGCAAAATGTGCTCTATCGTGAGTGCCTTTAGCGCTCAGAACAAACTCTCTGCAATCTAAATTCGTAATCGATTGTACAACACTTTCACGACAATAGTTCTCCTGTGTCTAGGTATACTTTGAGTGAAATTGTTCCTATTTGATTAATGTTTGGCTTGAATTGATGATTCAATCACAAAAGTGAGTTCGACGATTTTCCCTTGGAAAATCCCTTGTTTACAGAACTCGATTCGATTTCTACGGCAATTCTGTGTTGAATGCAGTACTTTGGGATATCTTGCATAATTCCCTACTGCATTGTACACAACATCGATATTCCACTTGTACAGGATCTTTTCCTGTTTGTGTGGATACAGATTGTCCGACAGACTTGCGTCCGGCATATTTGCATCGAATCCCGACATCACGCACGATCAAAGTCCGATCGCACGTGTCGAAAACCTCGTACTTGAATAGTTTCGTTTGGAACGTAAAAACTCATATTTCGTCATATCCCAACAGCGGTGATACAGCAGCTTTTGATCACACCTTTGCCGCGACAAGGGCATATAGAGACAAGAAATCCATGGGCATGAAATGCTTCGCTGATTTCAACAATGGAAGAACTGGTGAAATTGGTGGCATCTA